GCGGTCACTCAGCCGCCTCTCGAGTTTGTTTTTTCAAATCANATATGACGTCATATCGGACGCAAATCTGGATCAGCTCCGTTGTTCCCCCGTTTTTAGAGATTTGGGTACGGAGGAAAAGAGAGAGGGTTTTATTTTCTGACGCTGCGTGAGTTCCCTTACACACCGGGGACACATGTTTATATATAAAAGACATCAAAAAGTGCATTTTGAGTGATAGGTCCCCTTTAAAGAAAAACAGTCTGAAATGCAAACTAAAATAAATAAAATACTTGGTTTTAAAGAAGAACATTCTAAAATGCAAACACGAATAATTGAACATATTCTTGTATTTAATAAATAAATAAGAAAAAAAGAATTGTGGTTTTAAAGAAAAATATTGTTAACACAAATAAAAAAATAAAACAAAGTCATTTAAAAGGGATTCTCATGGGCTGATCATAAAACATTTCTCTACTTCTAAATAATTAAACTTGAATAAAATGTTCAAATTATTTTAAATAATTGATATTCAGCTTTCTTGCATCCTGTGTGCTTCTGCTGCTCGTCAGTATACGATATATCGTCTGTCTCTCATCTCTGTCTCTCAGAAATGAGCATTTGGAGTGCAGACTGTGTGAGTCATCCAAACTGATCACATCACATGGCCACACAACCTGCTACAGGAGCTGCATCCATCATTATTAGAAAAAAGTGTTCTGTACTCTCATCAATGTCCTTTTTCCAGAAAAGTAAGTTTGCTTGTACCGAAAGCTCTCCTGCCATGTCTTTTCTCATTGGCTGTCCAGAGGCGAAATGCAATGGCAATAATTGTTTGGGGATTTCCTGTGACAGCCGTAGTGTCCACCTTCAGTTGCACTTGTAAACTCAATCTGAGCACCGTTGATGAATCAGAAACGAGCACTGATTGCCATTAGCAGCTCTGCCAACCCACGCCAGGTGTTGGTGTGGACAAAGCCTGTCAGGCAGTAACTGAGCAGAGTGGGAGTCAATTAGGAATTCAATTGTATCAATTTCACTATATAAGATGTGGTGAGATAGGAGGTGTTCTTGTATGAGGCCCGGATTGACAAGCTAATATAGTTGTTTAACCTTTAGATGACAAAAAAGCTACATTTCTATACACCCAGTGACACAGCGATATCTATCATCACACCTATATTCACATTCCCCAGCACACATACCCAAACAAACAACACCTCAGCGTTCGGCACACTTTAATATACTGAACAGGTATTTGAAGGAGACGGGTATTAAAAAGGGAGTTTATCGTAAAGACGATCCAGGAAAACAAACAGCAGTGTGTAACAGAGGAATGCATAAAAGAGAAAACAACTTCTCTTCTTCCCGGAGAAGGTGTTGACTACACACACACACTTACAAACACACACACACACACTCTCTTTTTAGACACTCGCTTACAGGCTGATTCTCCCCAGACGCTACGCTGAAGAGAACAGCCCAAGGCTCCACGGCATGACTGTTGAGATCAGTGGTGATGCAACATAAAGAAACGCACATACACACACACTTACACACACAAACAACTGAAAATACACAGAACATGCTGCTGTGACTAATGCTACTATCAAATACTATTTCAACAGTAATCACTCGTATAGTGAAAACAATTAACAGTTAACAAGTCAACAAGTTCACAATTATCCAGAAACACAAACACATTTAACACAAAAGGTGTATCTTCTCCACCAGCTTTAACTTACACACTCCCACACCGACACAGATCAATACTGAGGATGGATGCATTTCCAGCTTTTCAACATCTGGCTAGAATTAGTCTCCAACCCTCTAAAATATGTTTTTCTTTGAAGCTTCCTTGAGCTGGCATAGCACATTTCTCCAAAATCCATTAGCTGACCATAAGGTCATTGTTGAACATCTAAAACCCTGACTGTGCTGCTGTTATAGCCTGAATTATTCTGGTTTCAGGCTTTCCACAAGATTTTGACGCCAGGCTTCAGGGATTTGCTCTCATTAATCCACATAGAGAGGTCAGGCACTAATGTCGGGTAAAAAGGCCAAAGTCATTGTTCCAATTCATCCCAGAGGTGTTGGAGACGAGGTCACGGACTTTGTGCTGTCAAGTTTTTTCAATCTGTACAAAAACATTTCTTTGTGGACCCGACTTTATGCAAAGGGTCATTATCAGGATGAAAGCAACTGCTGCCCCAAAGGAAGAAAGACAGCGAAAAGAGGAAAGGGAAAACAGAGGTGAAGCAGCACATATAAGAGAGAATAATACAAATCTGCAGCAAAGAAAGAGAGAGTGACCGACAGCAGAGAAGCAAACGATCTGTGGTTCCATCCGCGATAACCTGCTGTCATAAAAATGACATTCATATACTAAGAATTTGTTACCCGAATTACATTGTGGTGAGAAATGTAATTGCTGTCTGGATTATGTTCACAGGCTTCATTTTTATGTGACATAAAGTGGATAGCTGCTTTTCTTCCCTCTCCCAATAATTCCCCCTTTGTTCCTCTCCCCCCCAGGCCAGCAGAATGGGGGGCCCTCCTGGAGGCTGCTGGGGGGCTCCATCAGGCTGGCTGGGTCTGATGCTCCACTTTGGGGGGAAGGAGGTGGAGCAGCTGGAGCGAGGGGCAGGTGACTCTCTCTATAAACTGAGCCAGGGGGTAAGAGGGCCAAACTGTTGGAAAAGGTCCCACCTGAATCTAAACAGCGGGCCAATTTCATTTTTTGATGTTATATAACTCTGGTTATTTCTGACGACATGTAAGACAGGTAAGACACCATAATGTGAAAATCAGCACAGCTAAGTTCTCCTCTGACTCAAAAGTTCACATTAACTAATGACAAGCTTTGAATGAAAATACTTATTTTGGTTACCATTAATTAATGAATTCCTGCACTGCTACTTAAGTCAAGTGTTGGCTCTTCAGATAAAATAAAAACTATTAGACATGTAAGGGAAACCACTTAAAAGATGTAAAGATGTGAACAATTAATGTATATTTCCACTTTATTTTCTCTTCCCTTGACTCTTTTCTTTTCTCCCTCTATTGCCAATGCACTTCAGTGACTATGGCAGTGCTGGTCTCTTTATAGCGTTGTAAAAACATGACTCTATAAATGTTCAGGCAAGTTATCTTATGGACGTCATGTTTGAAAAAGACCCAGAGTCACTGTTAAGTTCACTCTTAACACTTGCCAGGAGCTGGTAGATTTCTGTAACACTTCCTCTGCCAGAATAAACCTCCAACATGAACACATACTACATAAGGTTGTAATAGATCTGTAGACATTTGAATGACCTAAACATACTACACATACACACAGTTGTTTATACTGCGTAAATATAGCCACGCTCTTAAAATAGTAATGTAATAAATGCAATTATGATTTGTATAATTGAATAATAAATAAATACTGTGGATATACAATTTGAGATATATTTTAATACCTGTCCTTGAATATTTTCTTTTTGTTGCAGAGCAGGGTAAACAAATCTCCTCGGAAATCCCCCTGATATAATTGCATTCTGCGTACACAACACAATCTACGTTTTCAGCTTTAATCTAACTCGGTACAGCATGAACATCCAGGAAAACTGCTTTACCTGCACGATCAACAGCATGTAAGGACTTAAATGCAAAGCTGGGACATTTAAAACGTATCGGTTTCAATTTGTTCCACTGTTTTTACCGGCTGTGATAAGCAACATCATTCTATCACAAATGAATGATGGAAATGAGTCCACAATTACTCATCTCGTAGTCTAGACACACACTTTGATTATCCAGATTGGGTGCTGCTGCAGCAATAATCAGCTATTTGCCTGAAAGTTTTAAAATCCATCACTGAAGCATGTAATGCGCTCTTTCTGACAACCCTCTCCTTTTTTTGGTTTAAATTGTATTAAACTCACCAATATCCTCATGCCGTGTGCTGCCACCATAGTTAGAAGAGACGTTATCCTATAGAGAAAAGTCATCTCATCATTGTATGTGTTAGAAATGGTGTGAACGGCACAGAGCTGGCCAGGATTGTCGTATTCTACACGTGTGAAGAGGATTTCTCAGTGTCGTACCTGTCAATGGCGCACTGTTATCATCACACACACACACACACACACACACACACACACACACACACACACACACACACACACACACACACACACACACACACACACACACACACACACACACACACAGTTCCTATCCAGGGTGCTCTCTCACCCCTGTGGCGCAGTAATTAGGGCTTGTGGATTTCTGTTATGGACAGAAGGAGTGTGTTAGTGTGTGTGCCTGTGTGCCCTGCCCTATGGGACGTACACACAAACACACAAGTCCCTCCATCACCGAGATTCCCATCTGCTTAAGTGTATGTGTGTCTGTCTGTGTGTGTATGTCTCCTGTATCCATGAGGTACAGGGAGGTGACTTGTCCTACATGGGACCTACTGCTCCATTCAACAAGGTCTCTATCTCACACACACACACACACACACACACACACACACACACACACACACACACACACACACACACACACACACACACACACAAACGCACTTACACAGGGGCTGACCATGTGTGTTTGATAGATTGACATGTTGGTCTCTGTGGACCTTTTATAAGGGTGAACCTGAGAATCAGTAGTGATAGCTAAATGGATACTTTTTGGGTAAATTATGATACAAATAAAATGACAAGAAGCCACACAAGATAACAACATAATCAGTGTTGGGCAAGTTACTTCCAAAATGTAATATATTACATATTACTTATTACTCTCTTTTGAAAGTAATAAGTTACATTACAATATTACTGTCTCTGAAATGTAATGGGTTACACTACTTTAGTTACTTTTTATTTACTTTCACCAAAATAACCGCAAAAGAATAGCTAGCTTTTTTAAATGCTAAAATGTAGTTTATTGTACATCCAGTGAAGGGCAATGTGGTATAGCATAACAACTGTGTAGGCCCTTAAGGCTACTAACAACTTGAATTACACGGCTTAGTTGAATACTCGATTCTGATTGTAAATTCTTAACATGTGACACGTTGTTAATACAGCAGTACAGACCGCTGTCAAGGACTACAATGAAGGTTAACATATTGTAAATCAAGGCAAATATTATTTAAACCATGCTCATGGTTTGAAATGGCAAACATTGAAAGGCAAAAGTATTATTAAAACCATGAAGCCTACTCAAGCCCGCCTTAACCTGCCATCAGGCCCTGGGGCTGATAGTTTTTGTAGGCCCCTTATTTAAACAACAAATCAAAGTCATTTATAGCATCGGCAGGCTCTGTGATCGCACTTCTCCACTCTGCTCTACGAGCGCCTGGTCCTCTCCTCCATATGAGTGACGTATCGGGCCTCCCTCATGTATTTGTCCGGTTGCCGTTGGCTCCCCTCCACGTAGCAAGTCCTCGTCGTCCTCTCAATCTCCTCCAACAGATAATGTCCCTCCTGTCTGTTTTTCCTTTCCCGCTACTCCATCGCTATCAGAACCAGACGGCCTACTTGTCTCCGAGGCCCCGCGGCCGGCACCGCTACCGCTCGGTACAGAACTCATCTGTCCTTCCTCTTCATCCTGGCCTACAGGTTTAAAATAACCTGTAAGCTTCGGCATTTTTTGTAATAGCTGCTTGTCTCGAAACTCCTTTTCCCTCAACAATTTCCTTTTCCGAGCGCCACTCTCAAAACTTTTTCTTCACTCAATCACTCGCAATTTGAGTAAGTCACATGTGAAACATATTCTCATTCTGATTGGCTGTTAAGTGGTGCCCACTGACTGTTACGGGGTCTTCATTTTTGAGAAAAATCTCTGTAATCCATCGATCTGATTGATTAGCAGAGCAAATGATCAAAATAGTATGGAGGGAAGATATTTCCGTTTGGATTACGGTCCTGGGGAGCCCGCGTGTTGTGTATGTATACGTGGGTGTTTGTGTTTATTTGCGTTTGTGTGTATTGTGTGTTTCCCGGGGAAAACACTCACGAGAAACACCGGCTGTTGTTATGCCTGCTGTGACGTCAAGTTACTCCGTTCTCGGCTTTAAATTATGCCTTTACAATTTTCAAAGTTGTATTTATCAATCTGAATTGGCCGAAACAGGTTAATATTGAAAGCCAAAGACTTGTGTTTTTTAAATTCAGATGAAAAAAACTGTAACGACGTCTGTGTTTCTATGATTCTATACCTTACTTTTAATTTCAGCGGAGGAGGGAAGCGGCGCTGTGGACAATTTCTGAAAGCAGACTTTGTTTATTAAATCTTTAAAAAACGCCTGAAAAAAAAAGAATAATTTGATTTCTTTTTTTCTTTTTAATGGCTCATGATAGGGCCCCGATTCTCCGTAGCCCTGGCTTCAGCCCAGGTCAGTCCCGGTGATTAAGGCGCCCTGCTACAGTGGCTGGATCAAGGTCTAGCTCCTAGCTAGCACGTTAGTCAGCATTACAGCCATGTCATTTTTATTGGCCTTAATATTGAAGTAAATTAGTACCCAAAAATGTTAACGGTAGAGTAGTAGTCATATTCGTGAACCCTTTGAAGATACTTCCCGTGTGATCATTCTATAATACACAATTAAGCCCGGGATAAATGCTAACTCACGGCTAGCATCGGCGTCGCCGATCTTTTACTTCATGCATCTGCACAATGGTTGACATTAAACATTAAAAGCCAGGCGTTCATAGAGAATCATATAAGGAAGGCGGAGCTTTGCATGACTTCTTCTGGCGTGTTTCTCTGTGGTTGATTAGTGAACGGGTAGTATCGTTTTGTGCAAGCAGTTGAGCCATCTTGGTGAGTGTGTTGTTCTGCGAGGACCGGATGTAGGTCATTGAGCGTTTTCCACACATAATGTGTACTTCACGTTTACGACAATTTTTTTTTGATTGCAAATTATCTTTTAAATGACACAGCATATGTGTAATCGTGGCGACATTCAACGGATCGAAGATTCTTTCTCTCTCATGACTGCAATACAGAATTTTCGAAGACTAAGGTCCCATGGGCTCCCCGGGAAGGGAGGACTTCGCCACCTATATTGTGTGTGGGGGTGTTTGTCCGAAGCAACACGTGTACTGGAAAGGGCGCCCATCCAGCGAAGTGGTTCATATGTATCTAAAGGCTCCGGACCACCCAGCATTATCGGCGTCGGTGGGCATCAGGCCGACATGAGGTCGACACGCCCTATCGATTTGTGTTGTTCCCGACCGGTGGGGTCTCTTCAGCCGGGCCGGAGCCTTTCTGTCGAACCCGCCGTCACGCCAAGGCAGTCGCAAAAGAATCACGTCTGATTGGCGTGTTCACTTACGCGATCGTGCGCATTGGAAGCGAAACGGAGTGGGGACCCAAACAAACTATAAGAGGCAATCTGAGATTTCATTGAAACTCCCGCTCTCGACACAGGTTGGAACGCACCGCTATTGTTGTTGTTTATCTCACGCGAGTTTGTTCTCTCCTCTCTTGCGGTTCTATAATCCACCATCTTTCTCAGATATAGATAGGGGTCATAATTCGAGCTGACGGGAATACCCTTCTACCACCGTGTACTTGAGGAGTATTCTCGTTTCTCGAGCAGGGTCTGTTGCTCATAGCCTTATCTTTGCATGCGTCGTCATTTCACGGCTCTCGCGCTGGAAGTGGTCTGTCCGGTGGTTTCTCCCGTTCCTCCTTTGTGAGCAATGACACACCAAAGCTAGTGCAGCCTCGCTATTCTCAGTGGACTCAATCTCGGCTACCGATGTCAGATCTTACTGTCTTAGCGAGAATGCTAGATGTCACTTTGTGCGGTTTCTCCTGTCACTGGTAAAATCACTTAAAAGGTATCAATGAGCCGATCTGTATGATAGTAGCGCAGAACAATTGCTTGTTTGGATGATTTTGATGTGTGCTATGCAGACTTATAGTATTGATAATAAGCAAGTTTTCCGTCGAATATGAGAAAGTGTGGTGTGAGGTCACGACAGCTCGAACCTGACGCCTTGTTTGAACATTACTTGTTCCCAGATCAAAGACTCTCGTGTTCTTGATAATGAATATTGGCTTGCTCATGCAGGGATCGTGTCTGTTGTGAATCTTGCTTGACTGCTGGTAAATTAATCTTTACAAGACTTAGACCACTCTGGCCTTCACTCGCATCGCAGATTTCATTGCGATAATATTGATCCTGCTCTCTGGCATAAGATTTCACTCTAGGGTATACGTCTTACACTCCTCAGATAGAGCAGTGATGCCAGGTCTTGTTTACTGTAACATCTGCTTGGGAAACTGCACCGCTCTAGAGACTCGATCGTGAAACCTGCAAGTAGTCTAATACTGGATGTTCTTCTACGTTCGTGTACCAGCTGTCTTCAATTGTATCTCTCAGAAGATATCTCGCATCACTGTATCTCCTTCCTTCCTCATAGGTCCTTTCACTTGGTTTCTCATCAGCCAGCCCACTCAACGCTGCCACGCTTACTTGCTTCACCTACGCAAGTGCTGAGTTGCCCTGTTTGTAAATAAGCTCTCTTAGCAATAGTAGTCGGAACGTAGGGACGCTCCAACAAAACTCACCTGTCTTGGCGAAGATTATGCAGATCTTCTGTGCTCTTGCCACTAACAACGTTGATTTTGTGGTGAAACCACGCCTCCTGACTATCTGAAATACGAGACAATGGAACCCTCGCCCATGTGCAGGGTCGTCGGGCACTCGCGCTGACAGGACCCACGTTCTGCTAGAGTCGGCCTTTAATTGCCCGTTTTACTACTCGTCAACTGGATCCACATGTGATTGAGCAAAAATAGAGACCGTGTATATAAATGCATATGCTGTGCTGTTTGTTCTGTATGTATTGCTATTTTAATATAGTTCAT